ATGTTGGTGTCTTGCTTGTAACTCCCCTATTGAAGCAATGAACAGACTGTCTTGTGATGATTTTCAGTAGCTTCCAAAATCACATGAACATTTGTAGGGAATTGGCCATGCAGAGCACGTTTCAATTTTCCATGAATAATGCATTTTAGAAGCACTGTATTACATATGATGGGACCCACACTGAATCAATAACATCGCAACAATGCCATTTTAACAAGTTTGTCTTAACACATAATTTAAGCAGCACCTCAAGTCAACTTAAGGTAAAACTTATATATTTATAATATTTGAGAAAGTTGGTCATAAATCGCCTGACAATGTTCATTGGTTTATTGTGTAAAACGGTGAAGCTATTGTCTCATGGCACCATGAAACAGCTTTCCTTTGTGTGTTACAGTGGCGTATTTTTGGGAAACTTGTCCTAATATTTTTTGAACAAGCAGCCTGTCGGCTGAGATAGCTTCGCTGTTAGCAATGTACATTTCAATTAAAGAACAGAAGATATCATTAGAAAATGAACAATATGTATAGTATCAAAGCAATCAGTCACTAAAATTAGAGAATTAAAGATATCATTACAAAATGAACAAACCTGAGAGAGGTCCACATGTAGTACCTAAATATGTAATATCAAAGCAATTGGACTTGCGGTTTTTAACAGGAAGTCGAAATTATCACTTTTTACCAAAAATGACAAAAATAGTCACTAAAATTAGAGAATTAAAGATATTATTACAAAATGAACAAACCTGAGAGAGGTCCACATGTAGTACCTAAATATGTAATATCAAAGCAATTGGACTTGTGGTTTTTAACAAGAAGTCGAAAATATCACTTTTTACCAAAAATGACAAAATTATTCACAAAAAATTAGCAAATTGAAGATATCAACATGAAATGAACAAACCTAAGAGAGGTCTACCCAAGGTACATATACACCAAGTATCAAAGCATTCATGCAAGTAGTTTTCAAGAAGAAGTCGAAAAAGTAAAACATTGACACAGACTATGACGGACAATCACTCATATGATAAGCTTCGCTTGACAAAGTCAAAAACAGAGCTAAAAATTATTATTTTTCGAACAATTCCATAGGAGCACAATGTTAAAAAAAAAATGTATTATTTGTCACATTTTAAAACCCTATTTTTTAAAATAATTGATAACAAAAAGTCATTCATTATTCGCAATATATAATATTTATTTTCAGCCTATTTCACCAGGCTACAATTTGAGACATGGCATAATATCTCTGCCATAGGAACCTATGGTAAAAGCATTATAATAGTGCCAAAATGGCCACTATCCACTAAAATATAACCATCACTTTACTTGAAATTTGAGGGGGTGACCCTAAGCTTTTTATAAGTCAATATCCTTATATTGCCCGGAAGTACAATTTATTGGAAAATGAATAAGTTCTGGGTATTTGAAATCATGAGTACGGTAGGCTTCTACCTTAAGTATTAAAGTTTTTACTACAGCATGAATTAACTATATGTATACTTGTTTGCTAAAATAGCCATCAAGAACTAGAAGGTTTACAGCAGCTCATTTTAGATAAGATTAATTTTGGCTGAAAACCACAATTTGGCTTGACCTATTTATTATTACAATGAGATTTATTCATAAATTGTCACAAATTCATTGCATTGCTAATGACTACACACACCTGTAAAGTTGGCGAGAGTCAACGACTCCATGTTTTGAAGAATCCGTATTACAAAACATTAGCACCATTTGGGTGCAAGTTACAGTGTACAGTGATGCGCTTAATATTGCCAGGAGCCACATCAATGAAAGAAGAATCCATTTCAACGTTAAAAAGCTAAAAGCAAAAATCATTGGTTTCCATGGCAACTGTCTTTATGGTTTCTTTTAATGGATTAGTATTTCCGGACATTTTATTGCCTAGCAACCAAATCTAGAATCTGAATGACAAGGGAGAAATTT